TTAAAAATCTGTTCTGTTGTGCATTTAGATTGTTTCCAAATTTACCTCCTGAAAAATGCTGTGATCAATATCCTAGTATATGTCTGCTGGTGGTCATAGCACTCATTCCTTTTGGGCATATGCTTAGTGTGGAACTGTTGGGTCATAGGGTATGCAACCAAACAATTTTCCAAAATGATTTTTGTTCATACCAGCAATGTTGAATTCTAATTGCTTCACATCTCCACCATCATTAAGAGATAGATGTGAATCCTTTTAATTTTGAAAATTTTGGTGGAGTATAGTAGTTTCAGGTACTCTGTATATGTGTATATTGTATATACACATGTGCATATTGGAGTGTCTGTGTGCACATGAGTTTGGAGGCCAAAAGTCAGTGCCAGATACTATATCACTCTCCCCCTTATTTATTTATTTATTTATTTATTTATTTATTTTGGTCTTTTTGAGACAGGGTCTTCCTGTAGCCCCAGCTGGCCTGGAACTCACTATGTAGACCAGGCTGGCCTTGAACTCCCAGAGATCCACCTGCCTCTGCCTCCCGAGTGCTGGGATTAAAGGTGTGCGCCACCACGCCCGGCCCCAAACATGTAGGCCAAGCTGGCCTCGAACTCCAGATCCTCCTGCCTCTGCGTCCTTCAGCAAATCCTACCAGCATGCAGCACCACAGCCAGCAATTAATTATTGTGGGGGATACATGCATGTTTAGAGTCAGAACAAAGCTCTGTGGAGTCATTTCTCTCTTTCCACCTTTATGGCGGTTCCAGGTATCATAAGTCAGGACATAATGCTTGCACAGCAATCACCTTGCCTGTTTGACCATCTCACCAGCCCTTTTCACCTCATTTTTTGAGACACGTAGCTCACTGAAACTGAGCTTGCTGATTCAGCTAGATTAGCTAAGCCAGTGAGCTCTCAGAATCCAGCCACTCTTCACCCGCAGCACTAGGGTTACAGGCACATGCCACCCCAACTGGCTTCTACATGAATGCGTAAGGATCCAAACTTAGGTCTTCATGTTTATGTGGCAAGCACTTTACCCACCAAGCCATTTCCCCAGCCCTTGGATAGTTTCAATTTGCATTTCTCTAAAACTAACATCTGCAATATTTCATAGGCTTATTGACCATTTGTACATTGATTTTTGTGTTTTCTACATTGGTTTTTGTGAAATGCTTCTTCAACTGTTATCCATTTTTTAAAATTAAGTTATTAAACTTATTAGTACTGATTATTTTTAGTGATTCTTTTTAAATTCTAGGTATTGCCGGGCATAATGGTGCATGCCTTTAATATCAACACTTAGAAGGCAGAGGCAGGTGGATCTCTATGAGTTCAAGGTCAGCCTCGTCTACATAGTGAGTGCCAGGCCAGCTGGGGGCTACAGGGAGACCCTGTCTCAAAAAAAAAGACCAATAAATTAATAAATAAATTCCAGGTATTGTTTTTCTGGCATGTATTTTACATGTTTCCATTTAATGATGTCTTTTTAAAAAATATTTTTACTTATCATTTTTATTTTATGTATATAAGTGTTTTGCCTGCATGTATGTAACAGCACTACATGTGTGCAAGGCCCACAGAGGCCAGAAGAGAGTGTCATCTATTGGACCTGGAGTTACAGGTGGTTGTTAGCTGCCATGTGGATGGTGGGAATTGAATCTGAGTCCTCTGGAAGAATGGCAAGTGTTCTTAACCTCTGAGCCATCTCTCCAGCCCTTAACGATGTCTTTTGATAAACGGAAGGCTTTATTTTTTTCTCCCAGTTTTCTGGATCAAACCTAGGGTCTCAGACATTCTAGACACTGAGCCATTGCCCTGGAAATTTTTTTTCTTTTAATGAAGTTATATTTGTCAATCTTTCTTTTGTAATATGTTTATTTTTTAAACATTTTATTTATTATTTTTATTTTATGTGTATGCGTGTATTGCCTGCATGTAGGTAAGTGCACCCTTGTCATGCAATGCCCGTGGAAGACAGAAGAGGCTATCGGATCCCCTGGAACTGGAGTTAAGGACAGTTGTTAGCTGCCCTGTGGGTGCGGGGATTGGAACCTGGGTCTTCTGCAAGAACAACCAGTGCTCTTAACCGCTGAGCCATCTCTCCAGCCCCTATAATCTATTTATTGTCCTATTTATTAATTCTTTACCTACCTCAAGTTTTTAAGATTTTCCTCTCCACATTGTCCTAGATGTTTGATGTTTTTGTTTTCACATTTATTTTATACTTATTAGTGGGTTTACCCCGTTTGTTTGTTTTTTTTTTAAAGGGAAAAAAAAAAAGTCTTGCTATGTAGCCCAGGCTGGTTTAGAACTTGCTATATAGACTTGAACTCTAGATCCTCCTGTTTAGTCTCCCAGGTGCTGAGTTATAGGCATGTGCTATCATGTGGGAATGATTTCAATGTAAGTTTCACTGTGGTTAGAGAACATATTCTGTATCTTTTATTTGCCTAGTATAATAATATGTTAACTAGTCTCTCTAGGTCTGATCTTGCTACTCTCATAACAGTCAAAGTGGTTCTTTTAAAAATATCTTGTCAGGGCTGGAGAGATGGCTCAGCAATTAAGAGCACTGGCTGTCCTTTGCAGAGGACTCAGGTTTGGTTCCCAGCATCCACATGACAGCTAATAACCATCCTTAACTCCAGTTCCAGGGGATCCAACACCCTCTTCTGGCTTCCATGAACATTGTATGACATGGATGCACTTGCATGCATGCAGGCAAAATACTCATAAAACAAAATCAATTAATTTATTAATAAAAAAGGAATATCTTGTCACTCCCCTGCTTAGTGGCTTCCCTTTTTACTTAAAGTAAGTCAGCTTATTTTCAGTCTGCAGATCCTACTCAGACTTTGTATGTATGTATGTCTCAAGTGTGCAAGTTCATGTGGCAGGGGATTCAGATGAATGTGCAAATGTGTATGTGTGTGTGCCTACATATTGAGGACATAGGACAACTTCAGATGTCATTCCTCAGGAACTCTTGGTGGTGTGGTAGTGGTGTGTGTATGTATGTATGTGTGCAGATATGTGTGGATATGTGCCTATAGAGACCAGAGGTTGGTATCCGGTGTCTTCCTCAACCAATCTCCACCTTTATTGTTTGTTGTTTGTTTGTTTGTTGTTTGTTTGTTTGAGACAGGTCTCCCTATAGCCCCAGCTGCTCTAGAACTCACTATGTAGATCAGACTTGCCTCCATCTCACAGAGATCTGGCTGCCTCTTCCCCCAGAGTGCTAAGATTAAAGGTATGTACCATCACACCCAAGTCCACATTATTTTTAAAGATGGGGTTTCTCACTGAACCTGGAACTCACTAATTCAGCCAGAGCAGATAACAAGCAGGCCCCTGGAATCCTCCTGTTTCCACCTCTTCAACACTGGAATTTCAGGTATACACTGATACAGTTGACTTTATGTGAGTGCTGGAGAGCAAAACTCAAGTTCTCATGCTCATACAGCAAGCACTTTACTAACAACCATATCCCCAACTCCCCACCTTGTTTTTTGAGACAAGGTCTCTCACTGGCCCAAAGCTCCCCAAGTAGGCTAGACTTGCAACCAGTGAGCCCCAGGGGTCTGATTATCTCTGAATTCCTAATGCAAGCACATAACACTGCACCTGACTTTTTTACATGGATTCTATGAATCAAACTTAGGTCCTCATGCTTGCACAGCTGACTGAGTTATCTACCCAGCTTGATACTACTCAGTCTTCTACTTTTCTCTAACCTACTCTTCTTCCATTCTCAACATTGCTAGATCAAGTCCACTATGCTGCCTTCAAACACACTAATAGTTCCCACTTCAGAATTTGTATTTGTTACACCCTCTGCTAGGATGTTTCTTCCCTCAGGTCTGCATAGGCTTGTTCTTTGGAACAGTGTGTGAATGTTCTCTCTTCAAAGACTTCCCATACTACTTAGTCTCATTATCCTGCCCTGGTATGAGTCATAGCACTTGTCACTACCTGTCATTATGTTATATAACTATCTTCCATTTCTTTCACTAAGTGATAAGCTCCGTAAGTGGAAACCATATGCTCTGTTCACTATTCTATCCCCAGGACTCAGAACAGCATATAACCTATAGTTAGTTCTCAATAACTATTTGTATAATGGACTAAGTATTCCTTACCTTAAAACACTCTCAATTTAAGGAGAAGATAAATGATTCACATAAAGTTGAGGAGTACTCGAACATGGATGCCTGCAGAATACTCTGGATGTACTAATTCAGTGGTGGCCTGGTCAGAGAAGACCTCACTTAGAAAGTGGCACTGGATTAAGTATTGAAAACTAAGCACTGATACATGTCCAACCAAGAAAAATGGAGAGATCAATATATGAGGCAAGTAGGATGTGAAGCTGGGTGACATGGTACGACATCAGGCATAATTAGAGAGTGGGGGCACGAAGCCATGGGTATCAGGATAAAGAATTTAGACCTGAAGTGTACAGGGAGCACAGATATTTAAGGTAAGGAGAGATTATCAGATTTCTATTTCCATTTGTTTCTCTCTCCTCACTGCAATAATCATACTAAAACTGAAAATATACTGATGTAGCCTTGGTCGTCGGGGTTCAGTGTCAAAGCAAAGTTCTTATAATACACTAAGCTGGGAGAGAAATCACTTCTTCACATATTAGATCTTTATTCTCAGCAGAAGGTGGTTGACTCCTGAGACCCACCCCAATTCCGAGCCTCTGGTTCTACCTATGTGCTTCATCTTGAACTTACCTCATGTTTCTTCTCTAAGACACTCAGGGAAATTTTTAATATTTTTTTCTGTATCTGCTAGAAATGATTAAAAACTTTCAATTGTAGCCAACTTAAATTCAACTTTACCTTGTAATATTCTAAACATTTAGGTCAAATGCCAGGAAACTAGCTTCTTGGGACAAAGCTATCTAGACAGAAGTGCAAGTTCTTTTTCTTCTGTCTAAGATGGGAATACAGGAGAAGGGGATGATAGAATAAGTCTTTTTCTTGCAGTTGTGATTCCAAAGAATCCTTACCCTGCCTCTGATGTGAACACTGAGAAGCCCAGCATCCACAGCAGCACCAAAACTGTCTTGGAGCATCAACCAGGGCAGAGGGGGCGTAAACCAGGAAAGAAGCGGGGCCGAACACCCAAGATCCTTATTCCCCATCCCACCTCTACCCCATCCAAATCAGCTGAACCTTTGAAATTCCCAAAGAAGAGAGGTCCCAAGCCTGGCAGTAAGGTAGGTAAAAACGTGGGTTTCCCAGAAAGATAAGGGGCTGCAAAGGGGTAATTCATCCATATCCATCCATTTTGGAAAGGAGTGTATCTAGCCATCTTTTTCACCTAGTGTGTGTGTGTGTGTGTGTGTGTGTGTGTGTGTGTGTGTGTGTGTGTGTAAAGTTCCCTGTTTTGGTGTATGGTTGTTTTGTTTTGTTTTGTTTGTCTTTTTGAGACAGAATCTCCCCATAGCCCCAGCTAGCCTGGAACTCACTATATAAACCCGACTGGCCACCCAAGTGCTGGAATTAAAGGTGTGCACCTTTAAAGGTGTGCACTGGCTAGAGTGTGGTTTTAAGAGGAATAGCCTAGATTATTATCCCTACTTAGCCCTTACCTAGAATTTGCAAATATTAGAGACAGGATAGTAGAGAGAGAAAATAAACTTTGGTTTTAAAGTTACATTCCAGGGAGTCTAGTTAATGTCTTCCATGATAGAAGGCCCTACTCTTCACTAACCTTCACAGAATGAATGCCCACCATTTAAACAGAGAATATTAATTCTGTAAATGCAGTTCTTTTGCTATCCCTACCCCTTTAAAACATTCTCTTAAATACCTATTTAGTGTTAGACTTTATTAGATGTTGTTACTCCATGTCATATCACAACATCCTAGGACATATAATTAGTATTCTTTTATTGTTAAATAAATTAAAACTTAGGCATGTGAAATGATTTTTCTAAGGCCAAATACCTACTGAATGAAAAAGACTGCATTGATTGGTCCTGTATCTTCTAGTTCAAGGTTACTACTGCCCTACTATACACTTACCTTCTATTTTCTCTAAGGGTACTTTCTTCTAATGAGGGAAGAGACTAAGGCTTCACCAAACATGGTTATTGAAATTACTACCTCTTAAATCATTCCAGTTGTTCATGGATGTCTTCCCTGGAGAAAGCATTGATGTGAACAGGCTTCTCAAGGGTCCCTGTTAGTATCACCTCCACTTACTTCCTAATGATCAAGGATTTCTCTAATTCTCCTTCCTGAAGTAGACGATCTGAGTTTTCATGTGGAAATGATGTCCAGTTCTCCCTAGACCATCCATTGAAGTCCTGTATTTTCCCCTAGGGTTAGTTACTTGGTTGATTTGTCTGTTGTGCTTGTTAGTAGCCCTAACTGACTCAGTCCTTATATAATACAAGTTCCTCAAGGTTAATAACTTAATCTTTTTATTTTCTTTTTCTCCTGTAGTGCCTTGTATCTGAATCTCTTGGGAGGTGTTCTGTATATGCAAGATGGATGGATGAATGATGGATAAGTGGATGGGTAGATGATAGATGGGTGGATGGATGGATCATGGATGGATGGATGGATGGAGGATGGATGGATGGATGGATGGATAATAGATGAATGGTTGGGTGTATGGGTGGATGATGGAGGATGGATGGATGGATGGATAATAGATGAATGGTTGGGTGTATGGGTGGATGATGGATGAATGGATGGATCATGGATGTATGGATAAATGATAGATGTGTGGGTGAATGGATGGATGGATGGATGGATGGATAAATGATAAAGGTGTGGATAGATGGATGGGTAGTTAGATGATGGATGAATGGATGATAGATGGGTAGGTAGATGATGGATGGATGGATAAATGATAAATGTGTGGATGGATGGATGGATGAATGGATGGATGGGTAATTAGATGATGGATGAGTGGATGATAGATGGGTAGGTAGATTGATGGATGGGTGGAAAGATGATGTATGAATGGATGATGGATAGGTGGATAGATGGATTGATGATGGATGGTTTTAGCCATGATGTTACCACTCTTAGTTGTCTTTTATTTATCAACTTTGAATTCTCAATGTCACCACCTACTCTTTCTGTGTAACATACAATGCTGTTTCTGATCTGTTGCCACCAACACCTAATCCAGGTCCTGATTCATTTTTATCTGTTACACTCTTCCCTTTCTCATGTTGTGGAGGAGATACTGAAGTCCTTAGGATGCCAAGGTCAGAGAGACATGGTTTTGATGATGTGGGTATATCTTGAGGGTAGTGAAAACAGTGAAGATATGTATCTGAGGGACTCAGAAGACAAAACCAGAGCTGATAAGCAGAAACTCAAACATAAGGTCTTTGTTTCAACATATAAGGAACAATTGGAGCTATCTCAGAATAGTAGTGAGCTCCAACAGCAATGATTAGTATTTTCTAAGGGACTGGATGACTCTGGGAGGGATATTTTCAGGGAGAGGAAGGCAGAAATATTGGACAGATGATTGAATCAAATGGCCCTTAAGATCCTTTGAAAATGAAGAACTATGATGCTGATTGCCTCTGCTCTCCCCCTCAGGAATTCTTGAACATAGTAGCCAAAGTCCCGTTTCTTTCCATCCTTCTTGAAGGTAAACATTCTCATGGTACCCTGTATTTGCGGTCTGGCATTTGACTCCCTAATTCCTCTTCCTATCTTTTGCATATCCACATAAGAACATATGCCTTCCATGTGATTACACTGTTTCTTTTGAAACAAAAAGAAATCTTTGAAAACAAATTTAGGTTTAGGTCTCATCTATATTTGTAGCCACCTGTGTGACTTTGGGAAAGCTTCTTTCGGTAAAATGCAGAGCTCCTTTTCTCCCCTGTAAAATGGAGCTGAGGTAATATATGATTCTATATAATACATGTAATTACACCTACCTAAAATGGTAATGACGTCTTCCATCTTTCTGCTTTCTTTCAAAGCATTCAGGCACCTAACTCTCCAGGCTTGCTCTCTGAGGGACCCTCAAAATCTTAGCATCAACTCATTGATATTGAACTAGTAGTTCCCTTCCCTACTGACTCATTACTTATATGTATTTTCACTTTCAGCAGTATCAGAAAATATGAGCAGATGTTTATTTCTGATGAGGGTTTGCATGATGGCTGTCCCAGACAAGGCCACCTGATGTAAGACTACTGCTGTCAGTACAGTCTTTTTAGATTATGTGGCCCCAGAAGGCAGACAGCTTCCAGCAGTGAACCTTACATGAGCACTTAGTGAAAGGGTATTTGTGGATCTCTGTGATGGTTGTTTTCCTTTCATTCAAAGGCTTTTATAAGCTGTTTCTTGAAACCATCTGAGTTCCCACATAAAAGCAGTAAGACAGGGCTGGAGAGATAGCTCAGTGGTTAAGAACACTGACTGTTCTTGCAGAAGACCCGGGTTTGAATCCCAGAACCCACATGGCAGCTAACAACCATCCATAACTCCAGTTCCAGGGGATCCGACAGTCTCTTCTGTCCTCCGCGGGCACAATGTGGGTGCACTTACCTACATGCAGGCAATACATGCACACACATAAAATAAAA